CACCGCTTTTATTCAGTTCTTGTTGGATCCTGAGTACTGTGTGAGGCTCATAAGTAGAAACAACGCTACCACGAAATTTCCATTAGGCTGGCGCACCTAGCATGAAACTGCATGCCAAAGCGCAAGAAGCTGTCAGACGATGAGCGGGATAGACTGCAAAGGTGTCTGCAAGTGCGAGGTGCTAGTGAACGTGCTGTTCTGAGCATCTGGAATATTTGCAACGAAAATAGAGCCAACATAGCCCGAGGTACTTTTCAAGAAGAGATACAAGAAATCCTCGGGCCCTGGAAGAGCGCAGTGATCTGGGAATCTTTTCCACCTGCCAGGGAATGTGGTGACAAAGACTTTGTGGTACCCTTGATAGATTTGGCGCACGTCGTCCGTGAGCTTTGCAAAACGAGTGAAGCCTTCCACAAGTCTTTGCACAGAGCTTTGCAAGTGAATCCCATCCTCACACTTATTGTGTACTGTGATGAGTGCACTGCCGGTAATGTCCTGTCCGTTGACAAAGGTCGCAAGGCCTGCATCTTTTACCTTTCATGGGTGGAATGTTGGCATCTCCTCAAGAATCCGAACATGTGGGTTCCTATGGCGGCTGTGCAAGCTGATTGTCTTCAACAGATCCAAGGCGGAGCCAGCGCTGTTGTGACTGCGATTTTGTCAACTTCACTAACCGTCGAGAGTGAGGCAGGGTTCAACATGTCTTTTCATGGCCTCACCTTCAAGTTCAGACAGAAGCAGCAAGGATGCTTTCTGGCAGACAATGAAGGTATAAGATCTGTTTACACGTCCAAGGGGAGTGCGGGTATACGGTTGTGCCTGCACTGCTCTAATGTGGTCAAGCGTGACACAGATGTTTCTCGCTTGGATGACCTCTTCGTTGAAATAGATGCCTGTGAAGGCTTTCAGCCTGTGACTGACCAGGAAATTTTTTCCGCATTGGATGATTTGCAGCACTGCCGCACCAAAGCAGACATGGAGATGAAAGAGAAGTGCGCCGGAATCTGTTGGGTCCCAGGAAGTCTTATGGCATCAAACCAAAGATGGAAGTTGCCACCTTCTCGCATTATTACAGATTTTCTTCACACTTATTTGGTGAACGGTTGTGCATCTTGGGAAGTGGCGCTGCTCTGCAAGGCGGTTTTCGAGAAAACAGACATAAACTTGAAGCAGCTTGAACTTTTGGTGTTGCAAGCGGAATGGAAGGGCACCAAGTCTTCCGGAAAAACCCAAAACTACACCAGGCGACTCTTCGATCCACGAATGTTTTCTGACAGCCTTTACAAGGGCCAAGGCCATCACACAGCGGCCATCACACCATTGATTCGGTATTACGCCGAAACGGTCCTTGCAGCAATGCCAGAAGTGCCCAGGGAATGCGTGGCATCATTCAGCTTGCTCTGTGACATTTTGGTTACTCTCAAAAATTTTCAGCATCGGCTGGACCGGTTGGATGCTGCTGACTGCGGCTACCTGCAGAAGTTACAACAAAAGCACCACAGAGCATTTGGGCTTGCCTTTGGAAGCGCGTGCTTCAAACCCAAACACCATCACAGGTTTCATTTGGTCCAGGGAATGAAGTTGACCGGATCCTTGCTCTCCACCGACCCCCTGGAATCCAAACACAGTTTGTACAAGAGTGGTGTTGCCAGCCAGCAAAGAGCCACTGTGTGTGACTATGCCAGGTTTTCAGCTGCAGTGCTTCACCGATTGGTGAAAGCCAGCTTCGACAATTTGGAGAAGGGTGGTCTACCTTTTTGGGAGTTGCTGCCGCCCATTTCTTCAGCATCCATGGAGGACAAAATAATTTTTGGGCAGGTGGATCTTCAAGAGAGCAATTGTCCCTTGAAGGTGAACTCACTTGGAACGTTTTACAAACAAGGATTTTTTCTATATGTTCTATGCACTGTCCTATATCAATATACAAGTATATATATATATATACATAGGTTGCTATCTGCTCTCCGCCAAGCTGACGGTGGGAGACGTGCTGATCTTTGGGCAAACAGCAGGAATCATCGACAAATGGTTTTCCTCTGCATCTGGATTGGCTGTGCGATGCCGTAGACTCGATCTTGTATCCCGGCACCGCGCGTGCGTTACTGTTTTCTTTTTACAGTATTTGCAGTATTTACATGTGTTTGAAACGCTTCAACTTTTATGGGGAACCTTCAGGTGCAGAAACATTCTTGGGGCACTTCTTGGCGCATTACAAATGAACATCACACACAGACGCTATCTCCACGTATGCCGCCCAAAGTTCCTGCTTGGTACCGGTTCGCCGAAAATGGCAACAATATGATCTGCTTGGACTAACCGACAAAAAGGTTTGACTACGCGAGGAGGGTTGCAGCGGTTGCCCGCTTGATGACTTTGTTGTTGGTGGTGGTGTTGTTGTTGGTGTTGTTGTTGATGTTGATGTTTGAGGGGGTTCCAGTTGCATCAAGGCTTGAGCGGTTGTCCGCTTACCCAGGGTTTGTTTCATTCACCATGGTGTATGCAAGGCTCCAGTTTGCTGTATCGAGGCGTGATACAGGAGAGCGTGCAATGGCCGTGCGCAGGGCTCCAATGTGTGATGTGCTGGCTACAGTGTTCACGAACTGGCCCAACTCCGAGAAGGAGGCGAAGTTCGACATGATCGAATGTTGTCGCGAGACCTGTCGCAGCCTCGTCCAGCTGCTGGGCCTCAGCCTGGCTACGGTGCCTTTGGCCACCTTCTGGGTCCAGATCACCAAGTTTCAGGTCAAGCTGACCGGCCTGTCAGGAGATGATATCAACATGTACGGCATCGGCGCAACAAAGGAACCTCCTGCACCTCTACGGGATTTTCGCAAGTTGCTGCCATGTCGTTCGCCTGAGATGATCACCTTGGGCTTGGAAACTACATTGGAGACTCTTCCATCTCTGCGCTTTGCTGATCCTGAGCTGGTGGATGAAGTTCACGATATTTGTAAAACCCTACTGGAAAGCATCAGTGGGAAGTGACGAGATGGCCACACGCTGGTTCCTATAAAAGGATGCACTTATGGTTGTTTTGCTTGAAGCGGTGCGTCCGCTGCTTCATGTTGAAATATGTTGATTTTGAAACAATGTTGGAGCGGTGCGTCCGCTGGTTGATGTGGAGTTTAAGGCTCATGTTGAAGCGGTGTGTTCACTGGTTTGTCATTCTGGACATGTGACCTTTTTCTTGCGAACCAAAGTTTTTATCAAAACATTGTGATTTCACCAAAACATTGTTTTTCAACATTTCTACGTAGTTCTACTTATTTCTACTTAATTTTACTTATACCTACTTATATGTAGTTATAAGTTACTTGTAAGTTAGTTATTTTAGTTATTTTTAATTGTAAGAATAAGTTAACATAAGTAGGTTGTAAGTAGTTTTAAGTAGTATAAGTTACTTCAAGTAGTACAAGTAGAAACCGTCCTAAAGGTAAGGAATCGGCACCAGATACGCTTGGAGATTGGTTTCTTTAGTGCATGAACTGTTACCCGCACTGCCCCCCTGGTGGTGCGGTCTGGGCATCAGTTTTCCTTCGCTTGTTGATTTCATCTTCGTCTGCGTTAGGGCGTTTGAGTAGCCCATGCAGTTGGGATCGCTGTTCTTCAGTCAAAGCTATGCCCAGACTGGATACAAAGGTCTTGGTGTCTTTCTCCAGCTCTTCTGGCATGGGTGTCTGGTTGACCACTTTCATGTGCTGGTCGGACAGGGTTTTGAGCCGTTGTTGACCTTCTGTTAGCTTGCTCTGCAAGTCGAGGCATACTGCGCTTTGACCTGGTCGAGTTTGGTCTGAAGCTGGGTCTTCTTGACAGATACTGTCTTCAATTCGCCGACTTGGGTCTTGAGCTTCTGAGCTAGCGCTTTCTCGGTGTCTGGGATGGGCTGGGTGAGCTTGTTCACAACATCCTGTAAGCGCTGTCATGTGGGACTTGGGTAGCTCGGTGAGCTCCGGTTCCTCCTGTGGGGCCTAGGGCTTGGAGCTTGGTCTGGATGGGTTCTGGGATGACATCCCAGGTGGTGGCGAGGAGTTCAGCTGCTGTGGATTGCTCCTTGTTCTGCTTGAGTGGCCTAAGTCGTGAAAGGCCTGGAGGTGAGTCCAAAAGCTGATCGCCTGCTGGTTTTCGAGGCCAGGTGGTTTTGCCATGTCCATAGTCCCTTGGTTTGCCATGGCCCTGACCCTTGCCTTTACCTGTGTTGGTTTCTTGCGGCCACCAGGTCCCACACTTGCGGCACTTTGTACCCGGTCTGACCTTGTCTGCCAGATCCAGTTTGAGCCTTCGGCACTTCTGCAAACCATGTAGTTTCGTCCCCACTGCATGGCTGTGGCACCGATCTCGTTCTGGCCTGGAAAGTACGGTGTCTCGTAGGGATAACGGGCAAAGTACAGGTTGTCCCGAAAGCCGTTGGCAAGAGTAGAGGTCTTTGACCTGGATGCCAAAGAGGGTGTGCTGAGCGAGCTCTGCCGGTTGCCAAAGAGGTCCACAAGAGCGAGGTTGGTGAGGGCCTAGATTGTGAGCAATGAATGTGTTGTAATTGCTCTTGTCCCTGGGCCGTCCTCGATGGGATACTGCAGGCAATGCTCGCGTGGGGGGTTCCGGACAAATTGGACTTGATTGGCCGCCAGTTTGAGCACTAATGGCCTTGAGCATGTGACTAGACTAGATACATCAGAATTAGAAGGCAAAGAATTACAACCCCTAAATAACCAAATTCTAATTTGATTAAAATTGAATTCAAATTCAAATCTATTCAATTCTACTTTACTTTTGTTACTTAAGTTTGAATTTAAGTAACTCTATTTCAATTATGTGTTAGTTCTATTTTGGTTCAAATTTCCTTCATTGTATGTATGTATGTATGTATGCATGTATGTATGTATGTATGCGTGCATCCTTGTGGAACCGACACATATTTGTGAATGTAGTCATATCAACTTGCATTGCTTTAAGGAATGTGGTGGGATTCTATGTTTGCAATTTGCATCTCGTGAAGGTCCTGGCGACAATCTCATCCGAGCGTTGACGCAAAGCCACCTCCAGATTGCATACGTCATACGTCAATTGACAGTGGTGACAGTCGTTGCTTTTGGTCACAGAGCCTCTTGAATTCAATGAGGACACAACACATCAATAGCAATATTGAACAGCCGACCAGCTGCTCTCCACAGAAAAATTGCAACTCTGGACCACACGTCATAAAGCGTTGAGCCAATTATTGTCGATGGACTATAACAAAATCTAACTAGAGCTGTCGACATCCAGTTCTGCCTTCAATTGAAGGTGAAGCTTCTCCTCCCCAGCCAGTCGCAATTCCCTTTGTTCCAACTGCCTCAGGAAGCTTCCAAATGAATTGTACAATGCACGGTGCTGCTGTAATTTCAATGTTCAGAGGTGATGAGAGAAACTCAAACAGTGAGCAAGGGAGAGAAGAATTACAGGCAACCAAAAAAAGGAGAAGGACGGTGGCCAAATGGAAACAACATAAGCAAGAATGACGTTACTCAAACAACCGCAGCAGCCCGCACTTAGTTCAACATTTCTCTGCGGCCTTCAGGACCTACGCCTCTTTGCCCAGGATTCCGCAAGGCTCTCCCGCGGCTGAGGTTCCGGCGACTCCTCAATGAGAAGTTGCTTCTCCAAGCGCTGGATCAACCTAAGCATACTCCCGACACCGCAACAGTGTCTTGAACGCTTGCACAGGGAGCTTGCAGAATGAATCCCCGATTGGCGAGAAAACACCCACGCAGCACACCATACCCATGTGTACCACATACCTCCCTATGCCAGCCCAGACCTTCAGGCTTGGCCAAGCAGCAGTCTTTGTGCCAAGAGAACCTGGGCCAAACGCTTGGCCTTCTTTGCCAGGCGGCTTCCTTTCTCCTGAGGTATCCAGGAAGAATTCATTGCACTCATTATGTAAATAAATAACCGTATACAAAGGGCAAAGCCTAACCAGGGTGCGTGCATCACATCGTTGGAGCTATCACTCTGTTGCCCTGCGCAGCTAACCTACGTGACATGTTGCTGCACATATTGCTAGGGTCCGATTTGAAGACGTGACCAAGCAAGCTTCTCACATCTAGTCAGGCTACACACCCGATCTCTCACACAAACCAAACCTGTCCTCAGCCCTCTCTCGGACGTGCCTTTCCACCAAAACCTGCGTGAAAGGTACAGTACTGACATATAAGCGCTTAGTGACACTGTAGTGACACTTGCGATTGTTGCACACAGCGCTCAACTCACCGTCTCTCAAGGCGCAGCTCTCAACGCAAATGACCAAAACACTCAATTGAGTGAGTTGAGATGAATTGAGTGTATGCAACTCTTCAATTGAATCCACTTCTACATGCCCAGGCTGCATGCATGGCTCTACCAGAATAGACCTCGAACTGTAGTAGGACTGGGAGTGGTAGACTTGGAAAACCCCATATGGCTGTCCTCTGTACTTGGAGCGGGCAAATCTCCCTCATCTTCCTGCCAAGGGTTTGAAACTGATCCGGCTGAAGTGCTCCATGGCTTCTCGAAGCATTTGTCATCGGATGTGACAGGAAATCTCCAGCCAAAACACCATAGATAAACGCAATCAATAGTACATAGAATATAGAATTGAAATACTGACACTGAGGCCGAAGTCACTTGGAGACCTTGCTTGGATGCAACATGATGCAGTGATTTGTGTATTTACTCGTACTTGTATATAGAGTCTTGTATATTTGTATATAGTTATAGTTAATTATATATCCTTCCGGATCTTTCCCATTCTATGCAATGGAAGTGGCCCATGGCCTCATCCAGCGATTCCCCCATGTGCTGTTCCACCTGCATCCGACCGCTTTGACTCGGTGCTGCGGCAAACCCCTCCGACGGTTTTGACTCCTCGACGTCTTCGATGAGCCTGACGAGCCTAACACGTCCTTCATTCATTCAGAAGGTGCTTCTTGGATGGTTTCGATTTTTCACCACAACTGGCCTCCAGGTGCCTAACTGCATGCCTTGTGGACTCCAACACGTCCTGACGAGTTCAAGGATAACCCAGCATTGCGGAGTGACACTCAAACCAAAATAGAAAAACTTTTCGTTTCTTCGCCACAAACACTCCGTCTTTTCCAGTCCTGGGCGTGCATCACCTCAGCTTTGAGGCGAGTGACCTGGCTGCGCTAAGAAGCAAAACCGCCACAAGAGTTCCCTGCTAGTTCAACACTTTAAGTTTCTTGCCTTGACCAACCCATGGGGGAAGACTGTTGGACCGATTGACGTCTTGTACGAACCTATCTATATTTTTTTTTTTAAAATATGTATTATCTTCAAACAACAAAAGCTGCTGGAGAACCGTGGGCGAATGGACGAGCTAGATAAAGAAAACAAAGAAACAATTACCCCAAGGTAACCCACACACTTTGCGAACCTCAGCCTCATCATTTGGGCGCTTCGCTTCCAACGTCGCAACCTCGAGTTTCAGGAGAGTTGGAACATGCTCAAACTATTGACAAATTGGACACGTGTATTGAAGAGCTTGTATGAGCTTAATAGCTTGATGGACCAAAGACCCGTCCCTTTGCTGCTGGGCGAGCGGGCTTGATGGCGCCATTTCGAGAGGTCATGCCTTGCAAAGATCATACCCAAATTGCATGAAGGTGTTCCACGTCAACGCATCAATGTATGCTTTGATCACGGTTTGGCTAGCATGGTTTTTGAACGGTACATGGTGCGAGCCTCAACGCTCTACACTCCAGCAGCTTCATTTGTCGCCAAGCTACCTCCTTCAAAGGCAAGTTTCAGGCGAGGTCTGTAATCGCACATGTTCTGGTCATTCCATGTCATTCCATGTTGTTTGCACGGAATTTGATGTCTTCAGTTAAGAGCAGGTCTGAGATCAGGACATTCACCCGGGTAGCTCACAGCACTGCAAGAGTTTTCAACCGTGGGTCAGTCCAGTGTCCAGCCTCTTTCGAGGGCAAACCAAAAGACAATTTTTGTGATAAACAATGGTGCAGGATGGTGCAGGCATGATTCCCAAGCAGCTGGAGAAAGTCCTCATCTTGTTGCGACCCTGCTGGCTGCTCATCCTAGCTCGCTCTCCACGCAGACTTGTTTGAGATTTCTATGGACCTCTTGGAAAATCAGGTTGCAGGCCTTGCCGGGTGCTTGCTTCAAGAGTTCCAGCTCGCTGTGCATCTGAAGCATCTGAGCTTGGGCTGCCTGATCAGTGACCAGAGTTGCTGGAAGCACCTCCCTGACCCGTCCAACACCTAAACACCCAAACCGCAGCAATTCCATGCAAGCCCAAGGAAGGGGATAGAAGAAAATAATACATAGACGACAATTTGGCCAGCTGATCTCATGCCATCACACCACACTCAACAGACCCTATTTCCAATTTCAACTCTAGCAGGCGGTTTGCCTCAACGCCAGCGAGGCCTCAGACTTGGCGGCAAGTTGCATACTGATGCGGATTGTAAAGTGTTTTTTGTTCTGTAGCAATGCATGCGCAGTTAGACATTCTTGCGAAAAGCACGGCTGGGCACACGTTCGTCCAACACAATGCACTGGCAGCCAAGGTTGTGGCAAGAGTCTGTGACGGCTTGCTTCTCTCTCCTGCCCACATCTGGTCACAATGGACGTCACACATCGTCACAAACTGTCCTGAAAATATATCTTTAAACTTCAAGCTTGCCAAATTCAACCATTTTAGGATAGGTAGCCCCCGATTTCGACCCGCAGCACTAGCCACAGCTAAAGCTAATGTTGCCGTCTTTTGCAGTAGCACACCGCCTGAGACTAGCCACGAAAGGTTGCGCAACGTGTTGAATGTTAAAGCCTTTTGAACGCACTCACGGATAGGCCCAATAGATGCCGGGTTTGGGAGATGGCACATGCCAACATTTCCACCGAGCCGGGCCTTGTCATCTCAAGATGCCTCTGGAGTTTTTCACAGCTCTCCCGCTTGATTTGGAGCTCCCGTCGCAGCAGCTCGAGCCCTGAACGAGAAGCTCGGAACTTGCGCGGAAATTGGGCAACACAGCGACGCAATGCGACGCAATGCGACGCAATGCGACGCATGTCATCTGTCTTTGCAGAACTGGATGCACAAATATTTGTTGCCCCTCCTCCACCAGCTTCATCGCCCATCTTCGCGGGCACTGGTAATCCAACGTGGCTTTCACAACCTACTATTCCTTCCCATGCATTAGAACACATTGGGACTGTGGGACAATTTCCGAAAGAAAAGCCTCACAGAACTTGGAGTGTCAACAATATTGTCTATGTGGCCAATATTGCTTGGAATTGAGCCACCATGCTACCATGCAATGTCTTATAGGTTTGATAGGCGGCAGGTCACTGCACTACGAAAAGCTACACCACGCCCCGCACTTGGCTCAGCACTCTGGCACGTCGTTGTAAAAGATATTGAACAAAGTTGAGCACTGCCAAACAGCTTTTGGGCCACGGCATTGAATTTTGCTTGTGCTGCTGCAGCTTCGCATGATGCGGCTGAAGCTTCCTAACAACAATACAATTGGCCAACTCTTCTCAACTTTGCGTGTGCGCGCGTAAGAAACACGTCGTTGTCCATGTCTTCTGTACATTCCATATTTCCGTGTTGCCGCATGCAATGTAGACAATGCCCTAGCCCACATCACATTGTCCTTGCCTCCAGCGCTATGGCACGCTCCTGCCAGCTTCCGAACTTCACCAGACCCTTCTCATGATGCTGACATTAGATGGGACTGAGGATGTTTAAGAAATGCCTTTGTGATGCGGTATCTTGAGACATTCCCGGCCTCTTGGCATTGGCGCAGCTCTCTGATCAAGTCTTCCACTCCTTTGTTCAACAAAGGCTTGGGATGGCCCAGTCCAGCTATGCGGCAGGCTAATGCGGCTAATGTGGATTCGAGCAAGGTTGTGGATCGATGCTTTCTACACTAGGTCAGCTTGTTTGTCCCGTCCAGCCTGCCGTGTCAGCCACACTGCTTGGCCAAAATGAGCTGCTTGTGACGGTGGACTCTGAACTTGGGCTCCTTGCTATCCAACAGCGAGGAGGCCAAAGAAGGACAGAACGAAGGGAAAAAGTTTGATCTAAATCTAATCTAAACGGATGTGACAAGGAATTTCTTCTATTTCCGGTGAGATCAAACTTTTGGTGAAGTCAACTCGCTTGCATTTCTGCTGTCCCACCCATACACTCATACTACCGCACTGAGCCCAAACATTGGAGATACATTGATCACACTCATTCACACTCCTCTACTGACTACAATTTTGCAAATTATGGTTCAGTTCTGCCCCAGCACCTGCGGCGAGCCTCAGAGAGTTCCCGGCCTAGGTTGTGCCGCTTCTGGGCGCCCGATGGATGGAGATAGACCGATACTGATAGGACAAGCTTCCACCAGAAGGCGTAAATTCAAAACATGGAGTGCTGATGTTGCAGCAAAGGCAGCGTGCCCCAACACTGCACCTGATTTGTGATGAGTTAAGAGGGTAGCCCTATGAATTCCACAGTGCCAGCTACAGTTACATCACTGCGCGACGTTTGCGTGTCACTTTTGAATCTCACTGGCATTCCAAGACAGTATATCTCAGAACTCGTGGGAGAAGCTTCATTGCTTCAGAGTAATTCGCCACCTTCCATGCCAAAGCGGAAAGTCACCACATCTAAACTCCACAATCTTGGGCGTCAAGGAGAGGTCCATTGCAGCGGGCTGGGATGGTTGTGGAACGGTTTCAAGCATACATGGGACAAATTCCAAACGCTTCAACGATCCTGGTGGGCCGTCGCCGGCAGTATGTAGCATGTACAGCTGCTTTTCGGTGGATGATTAGTTTTCCATAGTAGCTTTGATCTCTTTGCGCAGAATTTCATAGATCTCTTTGGCACGTGGCTGCATGGTCGGGAAGCAATGACCTTCTTCATGGGTCAGCACGACCGGGTTCAGGTAGTAATCCTCCACTTTGGTTTTGCTGCACCACCCTTCCCGCGCATAGGCATAGTAGGGCGAGGCCTTTCCAATAATGTGGATGCTTCGGTGGTCAAGGGGCTTCTCAAAAAGATGTGCATATCGATGATCTCGAATATGCATTCCTGACAGTCATCAATGTTGCATCCTAGCTGAATTCCTTTGCTTTCATGGGCACTTTGCCTTGACTGAAGCTGCCTCCCAAAAAGTCCCAGCTCCAAGGATCCTACCGACGTCAACGCAAATTATGAATGCAATGAGGAGAATATATCAGAATTTCAGGCCTTCGAAGAAAAGGCTGAGCTTCCAGGGTGGTGCAATTCCTTCTTGCCAAAGGTGGCCCATTAGGAAGTGCATCATGATGCAGCCTGCCGCGCGATTTGAGTGAGGTTTCTAGGATGAGATAGGCTCGTGCAGGCTTCGTCTCACTTACATACCCACTATGCTTACATTAAAATCTTAATCCTAGGTGAAAGGTGGACGAACATATTTGCAGTGTATACATGTAGTGTTAACTACATCACTAGTGCTTTGCCGTCATGCGTGTTTTTCCGTAATCATGTGACTTGTTGTAGGCGCGTCACGCCGGCAGCAAAATCAAAGAAAAAACCAAGTGCTGGTCCCACAGATGCGGCACAAAACAGAAATGAATCACGATCATGCGTGCCTGCAATATGTAAAACATAGTGAAACAATATCTGAAAAGAAAACACTATATAGGGAAATCTTGGGAACACCCGTCGTGACTCCATGCCTTGTGAGAATCCCAGGGCAACGTCAAAAGGCCCTTCCTCCTGAACTCTTTGCCTCAACTCGGCCACCTTATCGCTGATCGCTACCTGAGCTTGTGAACAAGGTGCTGGTAGGATTCCAAGGACTTTGTGCAACTCCGTGCTGTTCAAGACCCTTAATTAAGTGACCAAACAATATGGCAGATGTTGCAACAGCACTCTACCAAAGAAGGCCGTTTGTGGTTGGAGACAGGTTGCTGGTGCCGGTGCTGGTGCTGTGAGCTGGCTGTGCACGTGGTGGAGACAGGTTGCTGGTGCTGGGTGCCGGGTGCCGGTGCTGGCGCCGTGGGCTGGCTGTGCACGTGGTGGAGACAGGTTGCTGGTGCTGGTGCCGGGTGCCGGGTGCTGGGTGGGCTGGTGCTGTGAGCTGGCTGCGCATGTGGTGGAGACAAATTGCTGGTGCTGGTGCTGGGTGCCGGGCGCCGGTGCTGGTGCTGGGTGCCGGGTGCCGGTGCTGGTGCGGTTACTCACAAAACTGCCTCTACAGCACCTGTGATGGCAGAATTTGTCATGATTCTAAACAGTCAAGAGCAAAGTGGAATGGCACGTAAGGGAGAAGACAACCTCACTTAATCTAATTACTATTACCATCCCTGTTGCTACAGAGAATAGAGGTTAAGCATGCTCGTGTTATTCAATGACAATCAAATTTGCACAAAATTATCGGAGCTCAAACACAGCTGTAGCGCACCCTTTTTCCAACTTGAGCCAAAAGCGGACGATCGACGGATATGGAGTTAAGCAACTATTCGTCACCCCTCCTAGACGCCATGGAGTGACTCCATGAAGTCTCTCACAAATTCTGCTTTGCTGCGACCGATCGTCCTTCTCTCACGTATTGGCCTAGTGCCTTCATATGCTTTGAGCATAGGTTCTGGCTTACGGGTTTGGTACAAACGTCGCTGAGATTGTCGTGTGTCGACACTGCACGCAAATCGATCTCCTTGTCCTTCACCTTTTGTTGTACCCAAAGGAATCGAATCTGCACATGTCGGGTCTTGCCAAGGCCCCTCCTCGAACACATGCCTCGAGCAGCTGAAGAGTCAGAGTCAAATCTAACGATCACCTTCACTGGAATGTGCCACTCCTCATACAAAGCCCGAAGGCCAAGTCCTGTAGAAGCTGCCTTCACAATCGAGTAGAATTCGCTCTCTCCACTCGACAATGCAATCGTCGATTGGACCGTCGAGGAGGGGACCATACAATGACTCCCGGCCATGCACATGGACTGGTGCTCTTTCTTGTAAACAAGCAGCCGGCGTGATCACTGTCTGTGTAGCATACGATGCTATCATGGGCCTCTTGGGGGCAAAACTCCTGTACGACACGTGGGCTGCCTTTGAGGTAGCGTCCCAATCTCTTCAACTTGCTCCAAGAATGCTCAGTGGGCGCCGACATGAAGCGCGCCAAGCTCTTGACACTTTCACAAAGGTCGACCCTATCCTGGCTGAGATAGGCACGTCTCATCACGATGGATCGAAACAGACTTGCTCGATCAGGAGGCAATGGCGGAAGTCCAGTTGCCTCTATCGCTTCTTGTGCACTTCCCTTCTCTGCAGGAGTCACGACTGCTTTGGCTGTGTCCAAATTGAGCTGCTTGATCACTGTTTCTGCATGTCTTGGATCAGCCTCGTACCTGATTTTCCCTGTGATCTTGTCGTACTCAATGATTCTATTGAGAACTGTCATTGCTGTGTACCATCACTTGCATCTGGTCCAATGCATCCGTCGACTCTGAACTCAAACTTCTTCTTGAGTACATCTTCAACGAACTGTTGACCCTTCGCGTCTGCAAGCACGTCTCCGCGGCAAAGGAAACGAGAGTCTGTGGCTGCATGGTAAAAGATTGCAGGCCACGCTGTCCCGTGGACAATTCCATGTTCTTCCAACAAAGTGGTGTATGTTTCTTGCCACACTGAAGACGCATCTTCCGTACCATACATGGTCTTCAACAGCTTTGCACACTTCCCTGGTATTTCACGTCCAGGTGGCAAATTCGTGTAGACTGGCCGCCTTGACACGCTGCTCGACTGATGTCTTAAATTCTCATCTTCAACTTTTCTCCAAACTTGCTCGTCTTCTGTGAGGTCATCAAACTGCAAAGAACCTTGAGGGCCTCTAAAGGAGGCATAGCTGACAACAGTTTGCCCTTTCTTCTTAACTTCTCTGACCACCAATCTTGAGCGAAAGTTCGGATGGCTCCAATCGCCCTTGTTTCTGTCCACCCATTTGAGTGTGATGGGTGCACTTTCCAGTCACTTCCCATGCTTCATCAATGTCTGCAGGTTCGTAGATCTGCTGCTTCTCGACCCATTGAAGTTCTTCTTCTCGCGCCTTCCAAACTTCCTGCCTCGGAACAGGCTTTCCTGTGACTGAATCGCAGATAGCTTCTTCATCATCTTCTTCGAATTCTGTGGTTGGTGCTGGGTTCTCAGTAGGTTCATTGCTTTCACCGTCAGGGACTGGTCCGACTCCACCCAGCTTTTCTGTGACAGAGTTCAGTTCGCCTCGCTTCAATAGTTCTTGTCGAACTGCCTTTAGAACTCCTCTCACAAGTTTTGGGGGATACACTTGCGCAAATCGTGCTCGCCCATTGATAAGGTGCACATGGCGATGTCCACCTTCACATGTTCCCTCGAGTAACGTGGCTAGCACCTTGGAGTTTGTGACAAATTGCGTCTCTTTGCGAACGTATCCAACCCCTTTTGCATCCTCTCCAAGCATCTCCCAACGGCACATGGGACCACTTATTGTATACACTCTTGGATCCGACTGCAATTCGATCATGCGGACATCCCGCCAACTGCTCGCCCACTTGGGGTGCTCGTGTAAGAACAGTCGTCCCGAGTTCAACTGTGTCCAATATGCATCAATCGAAGTGTGGAGATGTTTTCGTCCTTCTCGTTGCACTTTCTCAAATTCTCTTGGATCTCTTTTGTACTTCCTGAGGTTTTGCAGAGGTGAAAACGGTCCGCAAATTGGCGATCCAACCAGCAACAATGGTTTGGTACGATGGAGCAACTTGAAAAGTTCTTCGATGTCGCGACTGCGACTCAGATCCCAGAAATCCCCTCCTGGGCTCTTTTGGACCGAAAAGTCAATCGCAAAACCTGGTCTCAAACCGAACTCATTGGCTCGGCTGGTGAAACGCTCCGGGCTGTAGATCTCTGCGATGTCAGTCTTCGAAGCTCCCAAAGCATGGAGTTCCAGCGCAATTCCCATGCTATCTTCACTGCACACGTATTCTTCCACCAAGCTCGCAATCTCCAAAATGGATGTAGGCGTTTCCTCGGGTCGGCTTCTTTCCCGAACCTGAACTGCTTGCGCCTTCGAGCTCAAACCCAGCTTGTCTTTCTGCATCTCTGCCAGTTTCTCTATTGAATCCCCTTTTCTCTTTTCGCTTTGGATTGCGCCCGATCTTTGTCCCTTCGTCGGGCTCTCTGGTCGTGGACCCTCATCTCCTCGGACCGGTCGATTCATGGAATCAGCTCGTTCGTGCGCACCTTCTATTGGACCTGGCTGACCCACAGGGTCGACTCGTCCTTGCGCACTTTCTCCAGTCCAGGAACCGGCCGAACCACAGGTTCAACTCGCTCAGTGCACTTGTGGCTGCCCTGCAGCATCGGGTCCATGCATTTCTTCATTGGCATCTGGAACATCGTCCATGACTGCCTCCGTGCCATGAGGCTCAACTGCATCCTCAGCGATCTGGCCTTTTCGCTTTTGAGCAAGCATCACTCTCTGCCTGCTCTCTTCTCTCCTCATCAGCCTCTGCTGAACTAAGGTTCTGCACTCTGCGCTATGAGCTCTTGCTGGAAGTCCGACTGCAATAGCAATGCAGCCGGGGCAACCCGCCGTTGGGTTGTCCTCCACATCCTTCCGTGTCACATAGAGATTCCTGGCTAGGAAGTCTTTCTTTACAGGTTCTGGACTCAGCTTTTCTGTAGCTTCCGGCAGATCGATGCGGACTGCAGCGTCCACATCTTCTTCACTCTGCGGCCTCATCTTCCAAGGCGTCCCCCGGAGTTTGTCGAAGCCGTACCTTCCAGCGCTCCTCGGCCGCCTTGCGCTTCACACTGCCGCCCTTGATCACGCCCTTGTCGGTCATGATCATGACGTCGCCATTCCTGCCGTGAGTGCCTACATAGACACCCGAGTAGTTTTGGAGCCAAGTCATTGCGGTCCTTCACATAGGCTTTGAGCGGCCTGAACCACACTTGCTCTCCGAAAGCCACCGTAGGCCTTCTCCATTTCTTGCCCTTCAACCTCTCATAGGCCGTTCTTACTTCCATCTGGTCCCACTCTAAAACGTGAGACCAGGAAGTTGCCATGCCTGGCCATCCACGTGAGGATGGGATGGCGATCGTGGATCTCCATTCCTAGGTTGTCCTGCAGCGCACTCTTCATTGCGCGGCATTGACGCTTTGATTCTCCAGTCTTGCCTTCCTCCAGCGCGATCTCCACTTTCGAAAATTCTTTAACTTTGGCCTTGAGAGACTTGATGGCGGGCTCATTGTCAGACTTCAAAATGATGCGATTGTATCCACATTCGTCCAGGATCCCTAGTGTGTAGTCCACGGCGAACCTGTCTGGGCCTTTCGCCGGAACCACGCACGCACGCCCATGTCATGCCTGAGTGCTCATCTTTGACTTGCAAGCTCGGCAACTCATGTTCACGCTCTTTGTCGCTGGCACCATTAAGCTGATCACCGGAAATGCTCTCTGCGACTTCTCACCAACGGAATTCGAACATGTCGTTCACGCAATCCACGGGCACGTACGCAGTGGCCACACCAGCTTCTATGCGTCACGTGTCCCGTCGCCTCGTGCTCCTCGATCTCCTCCAATGTAGGGCTCTTTGGACTCCTCAACAACTTTGGAGCCCTTTGCTCTCCACCATCGTCGGCCCCATCAACGACGGTGTCTTCTTCTGCCTCAGGCGGACTTACGGCGTCGGCGCCTGCCGGGGAAAACCCGGATCAGCACCGCCAACCGCTCCAAGGTCTTCGCCATCCTTGCAGTTGTCGCCACGTTGCAACCAAAGGTCA